TTTAAATTGTGCCACTAGCAGCAGCTAAAGTTCAAGGTTGTCAGTGAATGCAGAAAAGCGTCTCTAGGTAGGTGGGATGGAACAATACCTTTTCATTCTGGCAGTAGGAGACCAAGGTAGAAGAGGTTGGCCCTCCAGGCCTCTGGTGGCTACAGAGCTCTGCTCACATCTGATCCCTTCAGACAAATAAGGAACATGCAACCTAGCTGCCCTTGGAGAAGAGGAGCTCCTACTGCCCCTATGTGAGCCTGGCCAAGACCTAGTGAGGCGGCCCAGCTGTCACCCTGTACACCAGGCAGGTGGGAGACCTGCTGGCTGCCAGCTATACGGCGAGGGCATTTTGTCTGTCCTTTGTCAAACCAAAGGCATTAATAGAGGGTTTTCTCTCATAGCCTCTTGCTCAGACACTCAGTTGAGTGACAGCTTCCATGGGAGGAGTGTGTGTGCAGCTACCAACATCTCTGGGCCCCAGGTCACCTTTAGAGGCAGCTGGGGGAAACCAGCCCTCACCTTGCATCAGTAAACCCAAGCCTGGGGAAGGTAAGGGCAAATCCCATGACCCAGTGGCTGGGCCTCCCACTGCAGCCAACCAGGAGCTGGAAGCCTAAGGCTTTCACTGATCCTGGTGTTTGTTCTGTGTTGAACCTAAATTTTATTTCTATACACATTTGCATTTATATTGAATTTTATGTTTCTTCAGATGACAATCCCAGACACTGCGTAAGCCAAGCGCCCTTGGCACTGTCTGAACTTCTGGTCCCACTCCCTGTGGGGGTTCATGAAGGGCCTGGGGGCGCACAAGGAAATGCAGCAGCTAGAAGAGGCCCTGCCCAGTCCCCACCACACTGATCACCCCAGACAAGCTGCTGCATCCCAAAATGCCAGGTTTTTCACCTGTGGTACCATGGTCAGACCCAGAACCCTTCCTTCTCTCCCTCCTCTGCCAGTCAGCGAGCACCTTCTACCAAAACGAAGGCCCTGCTTCAGGCACTGGCACCACGGCCTAGAATCACTCTGACACAGTACGGCAAAGTAACAAGAGAGGCACACAAAAAATATGTGAACAAACGTAATACGGCAGATGGCTGAAAGCAGAGCAGAGGATGAAGGTGATGGGGTTGCTTTAGATAACGTGGCTGGGATGGCCTCTCTGAAGAGGTGACGGTTCAGCCAAGTCCTGAGGAAATGTTACTATTAAATTTTGTCTGCTCAAAATGCATGCGTTGAAGCCCTAACCTCCAGCACTTCAGAATATGAGTGTATTTGGAGATGAGGCCTAAACAGGTGATTAGGTCAAAATGAGGCTGTTAGATGGGACCTAATCCAATAGACCTGATGTCCTTATAAGAGGAGATTAGGACACAGACAGGCAGAGAGATGACCATGTGAGGACACAGGGAGACCACGGTCATTTGTAAGTCAAGGAAAGAGGCCTGAGGAGAAACCAGCCCTGCTGACAACACCTTGATCTTGGACTTCCAGCCTCCGGAGCTGTGAGAAAATAGATTCTGTTGTTTGAGCCACCCGGATTGTGGCAGCGCTGGCAAAGTAGCACAGAGAGAACCCCTTTCATTACCTCTGCCGCCCCTTTCCCAAGGAGCGTCTTCCACGTGGCTTTTGAGAAGTTCCAGGCAATTCATTCCCATTTTTAGCTAATCAAAAACCGAGCTGCATTAATAATGGGACAACAGAGATCACATGTCTCCAGATATGACGCACTGAGAAGGATACTGTGCTATCATTATCTTTGTTTTGCCATTAACTCAGAACCTGCATCTATTCTTGAGGAAACATCAGACAGACCCAAAGTGACCTGTACCTTTCAAAAAATGTCAAGGTCATGGAAGACAAGCAAAGGCCAAGGAAATGGTATAGATCAAAGAAAGCTAAAGAGACCTGACAACCAAGTACACCTCGTGAGCCTGGACTAGATGCTGAATCAGAATGAAAATGGCTATAAAGAACACAAAGGCTAAGGAACGAAATTTGCATATGGATTGCATATTAAATAATAGTATCACATCGGTGTGAAACTTCCTCCATTTGATGATTGTACTATGTATGGGTTACAAAGGAGCCAGTTCTTGTTCTCAGCAAATATGCGATGAGGTAGTTAGGGGTAAAATGGCAGACATTTGAATCAAACTATTATTATTTCGATGGTATATCTGGCACATGGCAAGTTCTCTCCACTATTGCAACTCTTCTGGAAGTTTGAAAGGAATAGAAAAATGAAAAAATGAGCTGATTAACATTTCAGGCAGAAAGAAAAACCCTGAGTGGTGGCGGTTAATGGTGCATTCCCATAGGAAGTGGAGTCAAAGCATGGTCCCTTTCGGGCCTCAGACTCTCACAGCTCGAGAGCCGGACGGAGTGATGCTGTGCTGACCTCACTGTGCTGGTCTGAAAGGGCCAGGACAGGGACTGTGTCTGTCCTTGGAGAGACGCCAGCACCCCGCCCGAGAGGCACTCACGTGCGTGAACACTCAGCATGCAGTTACGGGAGTACAACCTCCCCCTGCAGCCCCACTGCTCTTCCCAGTCTTCCTGCTGCCATATCCGACGCACAAAGGTAGCTCAAGGACGCCAGGGAAACCAGAAAAAACATTCCAAATTCTGGCATCCATCGGACTATTAAAAATTTTTTTTAAAGTTTCTGAGTGTTTCGGAATGTTATTTGGGGCAGAGTGCTGGTTGTGGGTTTCTTCCTAACAACACGATTCTGTGTCTTAGGAGGAAATCAGGCTGAGTCACATCCACTGGCTTCAAACCTGCTGACACATCACACAGAAAAAGAGGTACTTCAAAGGTGGGGGGCCCTGCATCAAAATACAACCTCCTGCTCTCTGGCAATGGGGAATGGGGTCCAGACAGTGAGAGGCATTTTGTGCGTGCTCTGAACCTTCGCTCCAGTGTGTTGCAGCCGAGGGTGGAATGGGGGGAGGTGGGGGCACCAACAGGAAAGCCACACCTTGGAGAGGAATGCTGGAGCCCAAGCGTGAGCCAAGGTGAGGCCAGGGTCAGGCCTGCTGGGTGTCTGGGGGCCCAGGAGGGCTGGGGCCCCAGTTTTTCAGTAACTGTCATGCTCTGTACTCTTAGAGGGGGCCTGGTGACACAGGCCACCCTTACCCCTGGAGAACTGGTTTCCCAGGGAGCGTGCGTGTGCACAGGAGGCCCGGGTAACCCTGGAATCAGGTTTAGGGGTCCTGAGAGATAGAATCCCCATCACAAAGGCTTGCATACGCCTTCAAGCAACTCTCCCAAGACAGGGGATCCAGGTGCGGAGAGGTGACCTCTTCGCTGGGCAGCTGCCAGCCTCTTATATCCAGACTGTACTCCACCACCCGCCTCCACTTACGGAGGCATTAAATATTGCCTCTAGGACCTGAAAGGAGCTGCCAGGGGCCACTGAGGACCACTTACTTTTCTTTCCCACTACTTTGGCCAAGTCTCCCCTCCCTACAGCACTTGAAAAAAAATTCTCCAAGTAATTCGAGAACCTTTAATTCAGATAACTGCAAAATGAAATAAACTATAATAACCACCTGCTCTGTTCCCACCTGTGCTCGCCCCGCCAGGCTCTGCCCACCCGCCTCCTTGGCCCCGTGTCTGAGTCCTGCTCCCCTGGGCAACAGCATCTCTTTGGTCCAAAGGGATCCTCAGGGGGCAGCTGTACCAGCCTGGGGACCAGGAACCTTGAGTAAAATTGAGCAGAGCCGGGAAGGACCCAGCGATGAAACCAGGGGTGGGTCTCGTGCCGGGGTTCAATGTGGGTGCCGTGGCGGAGCCCTCTCCTTATCACCTGACCTTTGGCATCTAAAGCAGACACACCCCAGACTGTCACCTTGGCGTCCCAAGAGCCCTGAGCAGCACACCACCGCAGGTCTCTGGAGAGGGCTGGCCCCCGCCCCGCCAGCCCCCACAGCTCGGGAGGCTGCTGTGCAGCTGCTCCGTGTCACTCACCAGCTTCTGAAAGAGGTCGCCCACTCGCTGCTGGTGACTCCACTGCTGCACGCGGGGAAAGAGCCCGTCGTAGAACTCCTTGTGGATCTCGTAGAGCTCAGGCACTTTGAAGAAGATGGTCTCGATCTGCTGGCTCGTCAGCACTGGCTGAGAGGTGGTGGCAGCAGCCTTCAAAGGCTTCATGGGCTGGAAGAGGGCACAGGTGAGGCAGCACAGGTAACAGGTGAAGTGGCACAGGTGAAAGGGCTCGCCATTTTTCAGGTGCATGGTGTGATCACAGAAAATCATGGTTACGTGATGTGGTTATATTTATAAATTCTATTAAAAATTAAAATTTAATTTTTCTGACCCCGATACCTCCCAAGGTGTCTCAATGATTCGAAGGAGGGTGGGTGCCCCCAGGCTCTAGCAGCTAACTTGGGACCTGGGCCATGTGAGCTGAGCTCCCTGTGTCCCTGCCCTGCCCCACTCAGCCCTTGTACCCTCCTTACCAGCAGCAGCGCCTCCAGGTGGCTCAGGTAGGTCTCCTCACTGGCCAGGATTCCAGACAGGACCCATTTTCTCATCTCCAAGCCCTTTTCCAGGTCCAGCTCACTCTGCAGGAGAAACAGACAAAAGTCAGACCTGAGAGATGGTGCCTGAGGCGGCCTGTCTCGGAGAGGAAGGCTAGCTTGTCAACCTGAGGACAAGCCTCCAAGAATGCTCCAGGTGGAATCAGAGGGAGTCGCAGGAACTCCAGCATGCCAGCCACTCACTTGTGGTCATTGTAAATTCCAGCAAAGTCAAGGGCCACCCTCGGTCTTGATGTTGGGAAGTCTGGAGCTTAGTAGGCTGGGCAAGCCTTCCCTCCACACCTTCTACCTGCAACCAAGGAGTGGTGGCCCCAGAGAGGCTGAGCCAAGGAGGCATTGGGGCCCAATGCATAACGGCCCCAGCTCCTTTCCCTTGCCACTCCTCCCCAGGATTCTCTGCTGTTGTCACCTGACCCTTGAACAGAAGGGTGGGGTACTACTCCCTCCTTCCACACCGGTGAAGCTGGAATCAGCTTCCTCCTGCCCCAAGGGAACTTGGTTCCCTGGGCTCAGCGCCTTTGTCCCGTGAGCCTGCTCTTCTGATTCTGTTGGCAGGGACCCACTTACTGGTGTGCTAAGGTAAGGTCCCCGACTCCTGTCAACACCCCTACTAAATGTTGGGTGAAGCTCTACTGCCTCTTTCTCCAAACGACAGAGCTGACATGTCACTGGATGCTGATGTAGAGGGGCAGAGTCCACGCAGCTGGAAAACCACATTCCAGTCCTGGCTGTGATAATGTCATGGGCTGCAGTGTGTCCCCCTGGGCCTCAGAGAATGGCTGCATTTGGAGGTAAGGTCTTTAAAGAAGTAATTAGAAGTAATTAAGTTAAAATGAAGTCATTAGGGTGGGCTCTAATCCAATACAACCCGTGTCCTTATAAGAAGAGGAGATGAATAGTCAAAGGTACAAACTTCCAGTTATAAAATAAATAAGCCCTGGGGATGTGATGTACGACATGGTGGCTGTAGTTAACAATATTGTACTATATATTTGAAAGTTGGTAAGAGAGATCTTAAAAGTCTGCATCACAAGATGAAAAATGTGTAACTACGTAAGGTGACAGATGTTAACTAGACACTGCAAAGATCACTTTGTAATATGAACATATAGCGAATCATTATGTTACATACCTGAAATTAATGTTATATGTCAATACCTCAATATTTTTTTTAAAAAAGAGGAAGTTAGGGTGCTGACACACACAAGGGGAAGATGCAGGAGAAAAAGAGCCATCTCCAAGCCAGGGAGAGAGGCCTCAGGAGAAATCGACCTGCCAACACCTTGATCTTGGACTTCCAGACTCCAGAACCATGAGGAATAAATCTCTGTTGTTTAATCCCGATGATGCTAAAGGCAACGAAAACTGCCGTGTGACTGCCTGGCCATTCCCCTGCTTGCTCCGTGACCCTGGACAGGCAAAGTTTGGTGTCGGAGGTTGGCAGGGCCCCTCTGTAGTCTCAGGGAGGCGGCAGGTGAAGAGGGGTCCTACATTCATTGAAAGTGACATAATAGCCTGCCCATTCCACCACCAGGTTTTCGAGCCCACGGGGGAGCGTGAGGCAACCCCGCTGTGGCAGCCCTGTGGTGTGGAACTGGGGCACTGCCCCCTCAGTCACGCGCTTTCCCTAACCTCTTAGGGATCCCTGACAGGGGCAGCCTCCTGGCCTTCAGCATCCCTGACATCTGGGGCTGGAGGATTCTCTGTTGGGTACTGAGGGGCCTCATAGGGTGTTGAGCAGCATTTCTGGGCTCTACCTACCACATGCCAGTAGCAACCCTTTCCCACCCTGGGTTGTGATAGCTACAAATGTCTGAAGATGTTGCCACACATCCCCTGGGGCCCCAAATGCCCCCAGGTGAGAAATGCTGGTTTCCAAGAAAAACTGGACTAAGACTACCTTGTGCCTCATGGTGTCACCACAGAGTCTGGAATCAGGACCAGCAGTGTGGCTCCTCTGTGCCCCCAATCCTCAGGTCCCTTTCTACTTTCCTGGCCCAGTAGAGGACAGCACTTCATGGTATAGACGGCGGCCCAGCAGAAAGTGCCCAGGGCCAGGAGTCGGGGGACAGGGCCTCAGAGCAAGCCTGCCTAACGAGCCCCTTTTGCCCTGAGTGTAAACTGGGGAAAAGAGACTCAATCCCTGTGTCCTACCGACTTTTGCTTTGTGTCCCTAGGCTTATATCACATCCACACTGCCCACTGGGAATATCTGAAGAGCCATCCTGGACCACCACTTTGCTCTGGGAATCTTCTAAGCGTGCACGCACACACACATGTGCTTGTAACGGGGCCAGCCATCAAGATCTTGGCTGACAGCCACTTTAAGAAAAGTTCACCACACACGGCAGCCTCCCTAGGCACACTGGGCGGTGGCTCTACAGGTAGAGCCTCCAAGACACGCTGTGCCTGATAGTGAAAGTCCTTGTGTCAGCACAGTGTCTGGAACACGTAAGTGCTTGATGAAGATTCACTGAGCTAACAAATCAACGAGTGGATCTAGAACATGCTAGGCCCAGTCTGGGCTGCATCCTTCTGGAACCCTCGTCTGTGAGACAAGTGGGTCCCAGGATCCAGGACTGTCAGTGCAGCCTGCTGCACGTGGTGCACAGCCGGGCAGGGTGGGGGGACCCTGATGCCTCCTCCCATCCCAGCCTGTCAGTCAAGGCCACAGTGAATGGGGCAGAGCCTGGGGGAAGCAGCTCTCAGCTGCCCCTGCACGTGCCGGAAGAGGTGAAGGTGCAGGCAGCAGCAGCCACACACCCAGCCCTGTGTGTCCTGAAGAACAATCCTGCTACTGTGAATGTGGGGAGAGGGGGCCGGGGGGAGCCGTGAAGGCCCCACCCAGCATGAGAGGCTTATGCTCATTGGGTGGGTGGCAGCACTGTGCCTCATTTCCACCCACACAGTTTGGAAAGCTGAGAGGAAAAAGCACAGCGGGATGGTGCAGAGGCCAGCTCTCCCCGTTCTGAAGGGCGCGGCCAGCTTCGGGAACATCGGGCCCGGAGACTGTGCTGGGCTAGGGAGGAGACAGGGGACACAGGCACCTCTCCTTAGACTGAGACGCTTCTCCTTAATCCTCAAACGGTGCTGGTGGTGTCAGACAGGCATGGCCTGGACACCGGCCAACTCCATCTCACAGAAGAGAGGGTAGGAGAGAGAGCGCAACTGATGAGCACAGAGGGCAGGGCCAGGACCTGGGCGATTTACGACCTGCCCCCTGCACACGTGCCAGTTCTGGAAAGGGCATGTGAATCCAGTCAGGGCCATGAGGGCAGGAACACCTCGGTGGGAGGAAGCCAGAGGAAAAGGGCAACTAAGAAAGGAAGCGGCAAACCTAAAAGGAAGGCCTCCTGCTGCTGCCTGGGAGGGGACGGGGGGCAGAGATAAGGGAGGGAGCCAGCAACACAAATCTTGATGCTAGAAGAGCAGATAAAAATGAACTGGGCATGATGACAGGTAGGAAGAGCTGAGCCAGGGACTCCGGTGACCAGAACTGCCATCTATCAGACAGCTGCCAGGCCCACAAGGAGAGCCGAGGGCCAGAGCTGGAACAGAGCTGCAGGCATGTGAGCAGCAGTGAAAGCCTGAGGAGCACCTCTCACCCTCAAGCCCAACCTCGGCGGCGAGGGTGATCAGGGTGCAAAAGCCCAGCCACGAGGAGCAGGCTGCTCCCAGGTATGAGTTTGTAGCCAACGCAGCTGCTGGACAAAGGAGCTTCTCTTCCTCTTTGGACAGGAGCCGTGTTTTCATTAAGAGCAGGGCTGGACATTGTCCTGGAGCCCAGCCAGCAGAGGGCAGGGGCTGGGGGGCTCCCGTAGCCCCAGACCTTCAAAGAGAGGCCCAAACATACAGGGCAGGAGGGACGATTCCTAGGCCGACCACCTGATAAACCAACTCAGCGGGCTCTGGGGAGAGAAGGGAACAAGCGGGGCTGGCACCAAATACCTCGTTTCCCCAACTGTGCAGAGAAGACAGATGAGGGCAACAATGTCCCTATTTAATTCAGGGCTCCAGAGAGAAGTGACATGGCAGAGCTAAGCCACAGGGACACAGGCAATGTTTATCTGTCCACACCTGGTACAGAGACTCACCAGGGCCCCCGAAAGGTCAAAGCGCCGACAAGAGAATCATGAAAGTGAATGAACTTGTGGTTGCTCAGATAAAAGCACAAACTGGAGTTATAGTTTCTGTTCCACAGACACTGACCAGATACACTGAGTATGGAGATGGCCAGCAGCTAAATTATAAAGCAGGCCTGTTGGTCTTCAAAAGTGACTACTGAGCAGGGGTGATCAATTGAATATGTGCATTTACTTTTGGTTTCCTCCCGAAAACAAAACAGAAAAAACTACAAAAAACCCCAAAGCGTCTGTGAGCCCTGCCAGCCACCTGCTGAGTCAGCGCAAGGTAACGGCCACCTCTGCAGAGCAGCTGCAGTTGTACCCAAGCCCACGTGCTTTCTGGGCCACATGCCCATGGGCCCGTCCAGCTCCACCACTGGCTGAGAGGTTCCTGAATATGAGCACGTGTGGGCTGGGGTCGCATCTGCCCCTCCTTGCTGAGCCCAAGTCTCTGGGCCTCCCCCTTGCCATTACCCCAGGGACAGGGCCTAGTAGGTCACTGTTGCAAAGTTACACAACATGGCACAAAGCGTGGAGCCTGGTGGGGCAGGGGCTGCTGCTCTACGAAGTCGGATCCCTTCTCTAAGCCTCGATGTGCCCCCGATAAATGAGTGGGTGGGATGCTTGAGGATCCAGGAACGAATGACCATGCTGACCTGGCAGCTGGCGGTGATGCCCTGACCCTCATCCCTTTCCCTGACACTGCTGAAGAAAGGTCACTCAATGGCTGGCAGCTCTGGCCCCAGCCTCCCAGGAGTGTCTACAACACCGCCTTGCTTTCTTTGGGTCCGCGGTGCCGGCTTCACCCTCCCAGGGGAGAGGGGCGGTAGTCATGGAAATAGCCTTCACAGAACCTGCTCTTCCCAGTGTCTCCAAGTCAGTATAGACAAGGGTCTGAAAGCAAAAGTCTGGGGGTGGGTGGCCAAGGGTTCAGGGCCTGGGGCGTAGGGAGGGCAGATCGGTCTCCTCAAGGGGCCTGAAGGTAGAGATCGGTCTCCTCAAGGGGCCAGGTAAAGGCAGCCCTCAGGGACAATGGATGGACAGGGAGGACCCATTCCAAATTGAGGACTCCCCCTACTTACGCAGGGCCCTAAGGACCCCTGAATATACCAAACCACGCTCCCAAAGCAGGAAGAAAAAAATGCACCAAAAAGGCAGGGAAGTTGAAAGTGTCAAGTGAGGAATGGGGAAGGCTTCAACTCTGGTAGCTGTGTGGCCTTGAGCAAGTTACTCCATCTCTATGAACCTCAGTTTCCTAATCTGTAAAACAGTGAAACTGGACTTTGGATAAGAAGCTGCATGGGGCAGGTGTGTGTTACACACTGGCTTCTCCTCCCATCCTCGTGTTTCAAAACGAGGAGCCTGCCCAACACCGAGTTCTTTAGAAATCACGAAAGCATAGGTAAGAAGCAGTCTTGCAGCTTCTTAGAGGTGCCAGCCAAGAGAAGCAACTGCAGCGAAAAGACTCTCACCATGCGACCGCAGGGCCTCAGGTCTACACAGTAAAGTGGAAGTGACAGCAGGATTGTTAATGAAAGACCCTGGTCAAATGGATGGAGTCACTATCAGCACCCGCTTAGGTAAAAGGGAGCAAGTGCACTGTGTGGAGTGCAGGGACGGGAGTCTGGACGTCACCCCTGTGCTTGCCACCACAGCTCAGGTCCTCAGCTCGAGCTGCCTGCCTCCTCCACGCTCGGCTGACGGAGTCCATGATCTCCCTAGTCGACATATCCAGCAGGCGGTCCCCCATGCCCCAGACGAAGGGATAAGGAAGGAGTTTTAGTGACCAGACATCCAACCTTGGATGCTCCATCGGCTCTTGCTATTTGCCTCTGAGCGACTGGCTGTGCTTTAGGAAGCCTCTGTGACAAGGACAGCTGGCCTGGAGCTGGGCCCAAGCCCCATCTCACACCAGGCCTACTGCCCTGGGACTCACTGCTTTCGTAGACTCCAGAGCTCCCGAGGCCATTGCGTCCCGGCTGCCCCTGCCCTTGCTGCCGAGGTGGGGCGAGGAGGAGGGAGAGTCATCGATGTAGGGCAGCCCATCCTGGTGTCGGCGCTGCTCCTCAGTCCGGTCCGTGGCACTGCCGTAACCAGGTGGTGTTCCAAATGACGTATCTGTGTGCACAGAGGAGCAGCCTGGTTAGAGACAGGCAGCGGGGCTGGAGGGCTGTCTGCCTGGGAGTGTCCACACCCACCTCTCCCAGCAGGTACCCAGCTGACACCATCTATCATCAGCAGGTGTCCAACAGGGACTGCGGGTACGGTGACCTCACCTTCACAACCAACGGGCCCAAGACCCCAGGGTGAGGAGGGGAGACAGCAGCGGCCTACTACCCACACAAAACAAGACTGGGCTTTCGAATGCTATCTGGGACACGTCTGCTTTTGTCCCGGGAGTGGGGCCTCAGACATTACTGAAAGATGGACCCCAAATGCTAGTGTCTTGCTGTCAAGGACAGTCCTGGCACACCTGTCCGTGGGGATGTGACGGGGCAAGGAGCACAGGCTAGCACACTGGCCCTAGGTGCAAGCTGTGGCCGCCACGAGCAGCGTCCCACGTTGGCCAGTCTAAGCCCAGGGGATGGGTGCTTCATCCCGCTCCCCTCCCTCGCCCTGTCTCTCAGCTGACTCATAGTCCACCTCCCAGTTGGTCTGGCAAAATCCTAGACCACCTTTACCCCAACTGGAGTGTGCCTGTGTGAACAGGGAGTGGCTTAACCGACAACAGGCTCCCTGCTGTTGGCGACTATCTAGTTATGAAGGGTAACACCTCCCCCCAAAGGCCTCTGAAGACAGTCATCTTCCTCCTAGGCTAAATCATAAAGCCACACCCATTGGCCTTTAAGTAGCTCTGTTCCCAGACCCCTCAGCAAGACATCACCTGCGAGGCCCAGCCTGCTCCAGACCTCAGGCGAGGGATACTTTTCGACTCCTTTTAAAGGGCACTTTCCCAGCCCATGAGGTTACACCGAATGGGTAACGTCAATCGGGTTATGTCTCTTTTATCGTCCAAACGTTACCACTGCAAGTGGCCTCTGCAGTGTTCATTCACCGGTTTACAACTTTAGGGGCTCAGGCTCTGGGGGCTGGTGGCAGCCAGACCACCCAGGCCAAGTGGGCACAGGGCCGCCCATGGACTTCTGGAGTTGGCCCAACAATCCCAGAGGGGGACTGTTTTCAGTTCTTTCCACGTGGACAGCCGGGAGGAGCAGTGGCTGGAGTGACCCGGCGCCCGTGGACGGCCCAAGGCCCAGCTTCCTCGCATGTCTCTGCTTCTCCCAGGTTCTTTGCCTCCGTGTCCCGGCTGGTTGCACACCCTCTAACAGGTGTCCTTAGCCCTAGCTACACACCAGCATCACCTGGGGAGCTTCGAAAACGTAACAAAGCCGGGCCCAACATGGACCAAATGAATCAGATGCTCGGGGTGGTCTGGGCGTTGATGGCTGTAAAGGCTTCCCTGGGGATTCCAGCAGGCAGCCAGGGCTGAGACTGCTGTACTACCCCACCCAACCCAGCGTCTGGCACTGTGTTGGTTACCATGTCGACCCACCCGTGTCCCCTGTGTCTGCAGACACCGACTGCAAAGGCCAGGCTAGGTTTACATGCGTGCATGTGTGTGTCTACAGAAGGGTCCCAGCAAAGGCTAGTTTTGAGCTGAAAGTAGCAGACAGGATGGGGGAACCCCGAGAGCTGGGTAGCCTCAATAAGCTGTGCAGAGGTGCCCTGGTCTCCTTAACCCACAGGCCACTTAGGCAGCCCCGGGTAGTGAGACATGGCATCAACACCCAGCCCACTGGCCTCTGGGTGTTATATTGTCCTTGCAGGACAGTCATAGGCCAGAACCAAGTTCTGCCTCATCCTCTCAGGATTTTGCAAAGGTACTCAACTAGCTCTCACCCAGCATCCCTGAGGACAACTGAGGAGAGTTCTAATATATTAAAAAAACACAAAACCCTGTTAATGCAGAACCCTAACCCTGCAACCGACCCCACAAAATGGGTCTGACTTCAGCTTCTACTTCCTTTTGGGGAATCAGAGATTTTTTTTTTTGATAATGAACACAGAAGCCTCCTTGTCCACCCAACATCTAGGATATGAACCCTATGTCACAGGAGTCTCTATTGGAAACCTGCCCACCAAAGGCAGCCCAGTCGGAAGGCCTCAGTTGTCAGGTAGGGCCATCCTCACAGCGAGCCTGAATGGTCTCCCTCGGCCATGAGGTCTTTGCTCTACCTGTCCTCCAGGTGGGGCAGGTGGGCCAGCGCTGAGAGCTGTGGTGGGACTTTCTCAGAAGAGAGGCTCTGGTCCCAACCTGTCAGCTGCAGGTCACTTAAGCAGTCCATGTCTCAGATTTCCTAACTTTAAAACCAGAAGCATGAACTAAGTAATCGACAGAGGCCCACTCAGCTCTAAAATGTCACTGTCACTCTTTAGTGAGGCCGGCTATGCCCTACTTACCTCCCGACTCAACCTCCTCACAGCTCCCTTACTCTGCTGCCCACACTTCAGAATTATCAACATCCACACATTCTCTCAAAGCACCTATAAACTCTTTTTTTTTGTAGTAACAATATTTTTTATACTCAACATTTTCTTCATTGCCTTTACCTGGGCGCTACTACCTGATTTCCAGGCCAGTGACTACACAGAGTTCACATCCAAGATCAAATCAACACTGAGTGACTCTCCAGGAAGAACTTCAGGGTCACACTTGGGGCCCCAGGGCTTACTCCAGAGGAGCCACACGATTTCATATTTGGGAAACAACCTGCTGGCTTAGTGACATCCAGGGGAAAGAACCAAGTGCCCAGGGGAGGGTTTGTCAGCCAGTGTCAAGTGCGCCATCAACTGATGCAGACACTTCGCCTCCCCCAGGGGAGACTGAGAGACCAGGCTTTGCAGTCAGGCTCCACGGGGTAATTATGAGGATCTGGTTAACTAAAAACCCAGGCATTTTACCACTGGACACACATCTCCCCAAACCAACGTCTAAGTAACTGATGCTTTTAAGTCTGGGATCCGGATGGCCAGTCACCCCTGCCGCATTCTACCTGAGGGCTTTGGCCCACCATCCCAGCCAACACGGGGTCAGTACTCTTCATTTTGCTGATTCCTCAGCCTGTTCCAATGCAAATGTGATGGGGGTTAGGGAGCAAAGCCCTCTACGTCCTTATCCCTAGCACGCAGGGACCTGCCTTTCTCTCACAGTGCGATTTTTCACACCTGAGGTCCCCCTCCTCTTGAGCATAAGATGTGTTCCCTGGGGATTTTGAAAGCCGCTGTCTCCCAAGAACTAGAGCAAAGTGAGAGAGAGGCTTGCTCTCCCCTCCTCTACCAGGAACAACCCGATGGAAAAGCTCTATGGGCCTTGACACCTCGGGCAGGACTGGGACCTGGTGGCCACAGCAGCAGGCACTTCCTGAAAAACTCTATCCAAAGCTGAAACCAAACACTGAAGAGCAGAGGGCATGCGCCCGGGATCCTGTGGCTACAAGAGGTTCAGGGAGATGAGGGAAGATCAACTGAACAGCTATCCAGCTGGGGAGGGGGAGAACGAGGCTGATCCTGGCCCAGAGCTCCGCGGACAGCGGCTGGCTTAGTGTGGAAAAGGGATGTGCACAGCGAAATCAAACCTCCCCCTCTCCAGGCAAGTTGGCTTAGCAGCCCCAATCCCAGCACTCAGCAAATCTATTTTCTGATGCAAGAAAAAAAGTGCAAAAAAAAAAAAAGGCAAAACAACAACAACAAAAACAGGCAGGAGGAAAAGTCCCAGGGGTGAGGGGCCCCCCAGTCAGTGTACAGGTCACATCCCCTTCTTAAACCCCAAGGATAATAACTGGTTTTTTAAAAATATCCTTCAAAAATTTAAACAGAATTATCATATGATCCAGCAATTCCACTTCCGGATACATACTCAAAAGAAATGAAAGCAGAGACTGGAAGAGATCATTGTACACCCACGTTCGCAGCAGCGTTATTCACAAAAGGCAAACGGTGGAAGCAATACAAATATCCACTGACGTATAAATGCATAAACAGAATGAAGTATGGACATAAAGTGGAACGTTACCCAGCCTTACAAAAAGAAGAAAATTCTGACTCATGCTACACACAAGTGAACCTTGAGGACATTATGCTAAGTAAAACAGGCCAGTCACAAAAACATAGTCACATTTAGTCACATTTACCATATGATTCCACCTACATGAGGTACCTAGAGCAGTCAAATTCATAAAGACAAAAAGTGGAATGGTGGGTGCCCAGGGACAGGGGAGGAGGAATGGTGAGCTGTTGTTTAACCCATTTTTCATTTAAAAAAAAAAAGTGCTGCTTGCTGCCACCATTAATTTAATTTGACGTAAATGTGCTCTTTGAGGCTGAAGCAAATCTGACTGGTTTTCAATGTGAAAATAAAATATAAAAACTATTCTTGAGGTTATTTCTAAACAGAACTTGTCTCTAATCCTAACGTAACAGAAAAGCATACATAAATCAGATTCATCAAATGAGTCTTCCACTAACGACTGTTTGAGAGTGACGTCAACATCACGCGTAGGAATGCTCCGTTTTCTAGGATTTGACATTTTCAGCGACCGAGAATTACTGTATTTTGTAAATGGAAAAACAGAATGCTATACACAGAATGATGTCATTTGTTTCCAAAGACCATTAATACACTTGAGCGATGTGAAAATAATAATAAAAGCGAGATATTTCGTGGCAAATTTTGGGGGTAAGGGTAGGACTGTAATTTGTGAGTTATCTTGGGGTAAACGCTGCAGACACAAGTGCTGCCGGTGAGTATACTCAGGGCAAACGGGAAATGGGTTAATGCGGACAGAGTTTCAGTTTGGGAAGATGAAAAAGCTCTGGAGGTCGATGGTGGTGACGGTTGCACGACAACGTGAATATACTTAATGCCATGGAACTGTACACTTAAAAATGGTTTAAATGGTTCATTTTATGTTATGTATCCCTAAGGTCCCTCCTAGCCAGTGGCAATGTTGGGGTGGCTGTGCTGGGGTAGGGCATGAGGGGGGCTTCCTTTTATTACCAGCAGCCCCCCTACAACCGCATCTGAAATAAGCATAGAACAAGCACAGAATCAAAACTTT